GCAAGCAAAGGATTACATTTAGATGCTGTCTGACAGTGAAATTGCTTTCGCCTCCATTAATCACCTGACCTTGTTTTGCCTATGTATTTCCAAATAACACCCCTCTCTGCTGCACAAGCTGGCAGAGGGAAATCGTATCAGTGCGCCAAGCACCATCTCACTGGTGGGGCTCCATTACCTCTGCGACTGGACTTTCACATGACACCTTCCTCCCAAACCTCCATCCGCCTTTAAATGACTGCATTGGTTCATAGGTGAGCTAGCCTGCTCTCTATACCAATGCCAGTAAAAAAAGATGCACGGACATCTTGTCGTTGACCCTTGGACTATGTATTGCAAAAGTGCTTATGCTTAGTGACGGTCTATTAAAAATTTTATTGTCTACACAATGGACATGGGTGTAGTTATAACTATATATAGGCCAAATGAGAATAATAGAAAAAGACATAATAGTAATTGTGGTATTATTCATCTTAACAGAATGAAAAAAGACCTATTTATAGACAACATGTCCCCTGATTCTATTTTCCAAGCCAGCTTGTAGCTTTGACCTTATTGTTCATTAATGCATGAAGATGGTTTCTCACCAGTCCCTGGTTCCTCCCTCTGCTGCCCCTGTATTCAGGTAACACAGGTTGGTGAATCTTATTTAAAAAACCCAACAGGTTCTCATCACGATTCATATTCAAGATGCAAATTTAATACAAATAATAAAAGCTAAAGCATTTTTGCATATTCCATTTAATACGGCGTTTCATCATAAAATATTATGCTCTGTGATTTTGGCTGCTTGTTCAAACAAAACAAACAAACAAAAAATGTGAAGGAAGATTTAGACATGAGGGTGAGAATAATAATCACTTGAGAATATAATCAGACTGAGCCATCTGTCATCACTGAGAAATGCCATGGGATGAACTCACTCATATCTTGTCTGTTACAGTTTATATCCTCAGGTTGTTTTTTGGTCTGAGTTTTCTGGCCCATTGGAGAAACGCGCCCCTTACTACAGGAATAAATATGTCTAAAAATTGTGACGGTATTTTATTAGTTTTAACGGTGCTGATAATCTCACAATCGTCAGTGGGAGGACAGGGATTGGACGGTGCTTATCTCTGACTGGACAGGTTATGTGAAACCTCTGGTTAGATATAAGATTACTGTTCAGAAATATGCGGTAAGAAGACAAGTTCTTATCTTTAACCAACATATATGTTTACCCGACAAGAAATCCTGGCAGCCAGCAAACTCATAGCAGGAAACATGGAAAGATTTGAATTTTTTATAGCCCCTTTTATACACCACCAACACTGAATGAGATTACAAGTACTGTAGAAAACATCAAGTGAGCGGAAATATTGTCATTATGTCGGGAGATGACAGATGTGATTACCTTAATTCATAGGCCTAAAAGCTCTATCACTTAGAAATATGCCAAAAGGATCCATAATAAGATTTATTCATTACTGCATTGCACTGTGGCTGCATCATACAGTAAGTGTTCAGAAAATAAATCAAATACTTAACAAATCAAATTGGCTCTATAGTGAACTGAGCTTTGTAAGCAATCTCTGGTAGCAATAGTTCAAACTACACAAGCACCAAAGGGATGTAAGCCTACAGGGGCCAGTCTACTGATGTGAAGAGTCAATCTAACTCAAGAAAGGTAGCTCTAACAAGTGTGGCAGGGCGATAAAGCTATAGACCTCTTCAATCCATAGAGGAGAACAAACAGCTTTGAAGAGACCAGAGAGCCACGAAAAGCCAAATCACTCGGTCATAACAGTGACTAAAATGAACAAATATGCAATTCTTGTTTTTCTTCTTTTTTATTCAAATGTTCTTTGCCAATTGTTTTAAAAGTTACCAGCAAATTTCTCATTCACTCAAGCAGACAAGTATGTTTGCTTTTCAGAGCTGTTTTGTATTTCTATAACTGCACAACTGTCACACCTGCAGCCACCCAGAAAAGGAGCTTGATTATTATTCCAAAGGATGAATCAGCCTATGAACATCAACAGCAGAGAGGAAAGCAGAGTTTGAGCCCTTTGAACAAAAGGGATTGAAAAATGGAAGAATATTGAAGTCTTTCTTTTCTCTCAGGCATGAGTCCATTGTGCCAAGACTCCAGGATGTTTCGATACTATCGGGTCACTTGTACTCCCGCGCTGTACAAAACATAGGCCTGACAGACAAAAGACCAGGATGCAGTGCTAGAGCTTCTTAATGGAATTCTGCTCTATTCAACGGGATTATCGTATTCTCTCAGCCTGACTCTAAGAGAGAATAGAGATCAACTAATCAAAGTGGGCCGTCAGCATGCCTTCATTTGTGTTTGACTGATGAAGGAAAATTAGTAACGATTGATCGTACAGTATAAAATGTCATTAATCTGTGATACAATAAAATGCTGGAATGACAGAAATGGACACAAAACTCATTTCAGCCACAGCAGACACAGTTTTAGTGGTCTCAGAATAATAATAAATCTCATTCTGGTCTATTTTCCTGCCTAGCCGTCTCTCCCAAAATGCTGCAAATACTATTAATTCCATTTATTATTTTTATTAATTTAATTTAGCAAAAACTATAAACTCTATAGAAACTCTTCAAAATGGTTAAACTCATGTTTGCTGTAGTGCTAGAATTAAATGTCATTTTTAATAAAAATCTGAGGGCATCTACAGGATAAGTGCGCTTATTTTATTCACTAATGAAAAATGGCCTCTAATGGATGGTCAGATAATAACTGCACATTCTCATAGAAAAGAGGAATAATAACAAATGAATGTACAAACCTCAGAGAGCAGACAGAGAAAAAGGAGGGGAGCTTTCTCTGCCATTACCTGAGTCATTCACACAGGAACAGAGAGAGCAGAAAAGAAGCAGTGATAGAAAGCTGAGAGAGTGTGTGGGCGCATCCATAGAGTTGATTAGTAAGCCCATTAGGACCAAGAAATATTGTCATTGTATAAGACTCCCCAGTGAAATACGCTGGGTCAGCTGTAAAGTGATACCTATTGGTCTTTATAGTTCTTTTGCACTTTAATCTGTGTAAAACTTTTAACTTTATACATTTTTCTGTATTGCTTTATTGCATTTAAATGTTCAGTTATTTTTGTTATAAGAAAAATGTTATTAAACCTGTTATACTGTATTATGACAGCACTTTTTTTCAACATCATGATAATACCGTATACCGTGATAAAAGCATTAGCAATTAATCGCAACATGAGAATTTGATACCGGCATATCCCTAGCTGTGGCTGAATATTGGAAGTTTTAGCTTGTTACCAGGGAAGAACAGCTTCTGCATATCAACATGTCTTGTCCATATAACCATTATTTAAAAATGTCCAGCACTAAAAATACCTGTATAATTGGAAACATGTATGAGGCATATACAGAGGCACTTTAGACACTCTTCAAAATATATGACAACAATAAAAAATGCATATATCAAAGCAACTGTAATTTATCATAACGCAAACACAGTTTTCAAGCAAGAAAAAAATCACCAAAAAAGTTCAAATTAAGAAACAGTAGTTGCATTTTTTATTTTTTGGACCAACTGGTTAAAAGTCTAAAAAACAGTTTGTTCAGAGAAAAGGTGTAACATCACATGTTTGCGGATCACACTTGGTTTGACATTTCATCTAATTCAATTTATTCATTCCAAGTGTGTCCTAAATGTTCAAAGCTGTCAAAATATTTTTGGGGATTGTCTCACATCTCCCTTTCTCTGTATGCAAATTTATCCGTATGTGTTGCCTATTACATTTACATGATTACTTTTAAATTTAGATTTATAAAATCAGTACACGCTTTTATACCAAATTACTTTTAAATTAGGAAAACAAATAACATACTGGAAGAAGTGCTATAATACAAATGTCCAATCTTTTTGGAGATATAGATTGCATATCAACAGGATTCAGTTAAGTGCTCATGGAAAAGATGAATTAGTACTGTGCAGTGCTCTGCCAATAATGACCAGCACCAGAGAGGAAAGGTAACACCTCACTGATTGCCATGGTTGCCAGTAATTAATGACCATCTGGTCAAGGTGGATACATTGCACTGTAGGCTAAATGTAATGTTTGATGGTAAACATGAAGACTTTAATGTAGCACGAATGTTTCAGCAACAGGTCTTTATAAAACCACCAATGCACATGTGGGTGTGCATAATTGTGGTTTGCATTTAAAACTAAAACCATAACAGAGACATGTTCTATTATGTATTATAGCTCCATAATGATGTCTGGCATGCAAAGACATTTCTGCTTAACTTCTCTCAGCTACCCGTATACCTGTCTGGACAGATACGAATTCTGTGTATTAGTGCAATATCAGTTTTTACAGAATGAAATAATAGATCACAAGATGTTCTGCCCAAAAATTTGTGGTGGTCACAATGACTCATCTTTTACCTGCAGTGAGAATTTTTCTTCAGATAAGTTTGAGATCAAGGGTTATAAAGCAGTAGCGAAGAGGGTATCAGCTTTGAGTCTGAGCTGATGTGTCATTGTAAATGAGATGGCCATGCTGACATCTGAGAATGAAGTACTGTCTGATATTGCGAGCGAGAGTGGGCAGATTGCAGATTTTGCATGCTTCCAAGATCAGAAAATCATGATGTTTCTAAGTTAAATTATGGTAGATTTAAAATCCAATAAAAACCTGTTTCAGAACCAACTGAGCTTCCTTATAAGACTTACTTCAAATCTAATCACAATGGTCTATTTTACCCAATAGTGTGCTATGTATTTTTATGGCTATTAAATAATAGCATCTATAGCATAGAGATATGCTAATGTCAAACCATATTGGAATCAGTTGTGTATCAATTCTCACATACACAATCAGTCAGTTATTACAGCTACAGGACACTGCCTTAGAAGGATGCTGCTTATGTAGACAGTAATTCACTAGGTTCTGAAACAAAGAATTGTTGGAATTGTTAGAATTGTTATCTGAAGTATACGACTGTGTACTCACTGATGTGTACAGATGGCCTTCTCCATTCATGGCGATGTACAAGCCCGTCTTCACAGACTGAATAGCAACGACCCGAAGGCCCACAGGGATGAGGTTGAACAACGCTGTGAAGACAATACAGGGGTAAACAAATGTAACTTTTCCGTCAATTTAACAAATTATATCTAAAATAAGAATTGAGGAATTACTGTTAAATTTGAAAAAAAAAAAAAAAAAAATTGGAATTTCTGTAGAAAATTTGAGTACGTGTTTGTTTTTGTATGTTGCTATACAGTTCTAAGAGTGATTAGGATGTAGTGTACGTAAGTAACCAAGTACGTTCCCTATTAATACTTCCCTCGTACTGCGTCTGCTAAAACGCTATGGAGAACCAGTACAATCCCGCCGTGCTATGCTAGAGGAACGACCAATGCTTGAACTTGCCTTGAGCACCAAAGCCCAGAGGGAACGCTATGGAGAACCAGTACAATCCCGCCGTGCTATGCTAGAGGAACGACCAATGCTTGAACTTGCCTTGAGCACCAAAGGGGGCCCAGAGGGACCAAGTAATTGCAGGGAAGCCCCGCAAGAGGCGACAGGGCCAAACTCACAAAGGTCAGCCCGGCACTGAGTAATCGTTCCAAGATAAATTGTACAGCCTCAGAACCTCAGAACCCATGGCAAACGCCTGAGCACTGGTTTTGCCATAAGGCCAGAGTAAGTCTGTTTAAGCAGAAAGGACCCGAGCCTGTAAGGCCGGGACATCCAGATTATAAAACCTGGTAAATGTGGACGGCGAGGCCCTGCTTAGGACTTGCAGAAAGGTGCGAAGGCCCAAACATACTGTCAGCATTTCCAGGCAGTTGATGTGAAGCCGACTCTCCTCTTTTGACCAATGGCCGAAAGCCATCGCATAGAGCTCCCCAACCCGTGTTGGAAGCATCTGTCGAGACCACCTTCCTTCTGCAGACCATTCCCAGGGGCACGCCCCGTTCCATCCACCGAGAGTCTTTCCAAGGGGCCAGAGCTGCTACGCAGGCCCAGTTCACCTTGACACGCATGCGTCCATGACGCCAGGCGTGGGACGGAACTTGTGGTTTCAGCCAGTACTGAAGGTGCCGCATGTGAAGCAGGCCCAGCTGAAGAACTGGAGACGCAGAGGCCATGAGGCTCAACATCTTCTGAAACGCCTTGAGAGGGCGAAGGGCTCCAACTCTGAATGAGGCCGCAAGCTGCCGAATAGCCAGTGCACGATCCGGCGCGAATACCGCCCTCATTTGGGCTGAGTCGAGAACTGTTCCCAGGAACGATATCCGTTGGCTGGGGAACAGCACGCTTTTGGCTAAATTGACCCTGAGTCCCAGGCACTCTAAGTGGCTGAGGAGGAAGGATCTGTGGGATAATAGATCGTTCTCTGACTGGGCCAGGATGAGCCAGTTGTCGAGATAATTCAGAACGCGGATTCCCATCTGTCTCAGCGGGGAAAGAGCCGCATTCATGCACTTCGTAAAAGTGCGAGGAGCTAGGGACAGCCCGAAGGGAAGGACTGTGTATTGATATGCCACTCCCTCGAAGGCGGATCTCAAGAAGGCTATCTGGATGTGAAAGTAGGCATCTTTCAGATCCAGCGAAAAGAACCAGTCCCCTGGGCACACTTGCGAGAGGATCTGCTTCAGTGTAATCATCCTGAATGACCGTCTCATGAGGGTGCGGTTCATGTGCCTGAGATCGAGGATGGGCCTTAGGCCGCCATCCTTTTTGGGGACGAGGAAATATCGGCTGTAGAAGCCTGACTCGCTCTGAGCTGGGGGAACTGTTTCTATGGCTCCTTTTGCCAGCAAATTCATCACCTCGGCACACAGGATGTGTGCGTCCTTGCTCTGATTCGAGGTGGAGACCACACCGCTGAATCACGGGGGTCTTCGAGCGAATTGAAGTGAATAACCTTGTTCTATTATCCCCAGAACACACTTTGACACTCCAGGGATGGCCTTCCAGGCGGCTGCGGGTGGGCTCCTCTGGCGGAGACCAATCCAAACCCAGCTCTTGCACAGCTTTAGACAAGACGCGGAAAAGTTCGGTGTCCATGCCCGTGCTGGCAGAGCTGGGCTCCGCAAACGGCAGGGGAGCGGGGTCGAAGGACGAGCCCGACAGCTCCTCCGCATCTGAAGCAGCCAGAGACACACTGTCATCCATGGCGTCGCACTCGCTCCCACCAAACGAGACCAGATCGCTCGCAGCCGCAGAGGGATGCTGGTCCGGGTGAGAGAAGAGGAATGGGGGAAGCCTCTCTATGTGGAGAGAGTGAGGGACATATCCTCGCAATGAGGACATTCCGTCTCGGTAAGTGCAGCTTCAGCGTGGGCAGCGCCCAAGCATGACATGCACTCGCCGTGACCGTCAGCGGCGTGCAGGGGAGCCCTGCACGAGCGACAGTAGCGGCGTGGCATTTGCAACACCGCCGGAGATTTGCTTAGAAAATTTGCTCTTATAGTCGCCGGATAGCGGCAGGGGTCCGGGAAGACCACAGATGCTGCAGACGCCAAAGGCAGCTGAAGACCGGCAAAGTCAGCCGAACAGAGAGGGGTCTTGATCCGCTGCGAGGCTTGTTCACGGTGAAGGCTTCGAGTCTCGTAGAGCGAAGATCTTGTAGTCGTTGCTGAAGGAGAAGAAATCTGAGGATCCTATGGCGAAGTACACGCTTATATAGCCAGATGCCCCGCCCATTTTGGCGGGTTCTGGCAGGCTGTGTCGCCATAGGCTCATGCAGCTCCGCTGCCGAGCCAATGGTTTGTTTTAAATACACTGCACGAACCAATGGCCGTGCAGTTACACTGCATTATTGAAAGGCTTCAGTATTCGGGTTTTCCCCATAGCATCTTAGCAGACGCAGTACGAGTGAAGTATCGATAGGGAACAGGGATAGTGTGGAGCATAAAAACTGATACACAGAAATTGAATGGAGGCCTCATATTATGTAGAATAATTGTTTTTATGCCCAGTGGGCAGCAACAGAAGCCTGGCGCTACAAGCTGGAGCATAGAAGGCTAGAGATTGGAGGCAGTAGTAGTGCATGGCAGATTTAATGGATCTTTTGTTGTTGGAGCAGCTCTTCGGTCTTGTTAGGTAACGGCCATTGTTTGTACTGGAGGGGAGTAACAACCTAGCTGGTGACACTAAGTGCATCCAAAGGGGTGATTTAAACCTACAGTGTAATGAACTCACTTCAACTCACTGGTAATTGGCAGAGCTCCCGGGGTGCTTGAATGAAAATGACTTCAGAAAAGCCCTGGTCTGGAAGACTCTGGTGTGGCAAAATATGAGTGGGATGGTTACATCAAAGTGAGTTTCTGGAAGTGCTCCACAGGCACACAGGAACAGATTCTTACAAGGACACAAAATGGACTTTGCATCCTTGTCTTCCAAAGAGAGCATGATATTGAATGCCATTTCATGCCTTTTCATTCTTTTTCTTCACCTCTGTTTCTCTCTATCTTCATCTCTCTATCTATACTGGTTTGCAACTTACAGAATTTATATAAATATCCAATATTAATAACTATATTTTACCTAAAAAATCAAAGCAAATGTATTTTTAAGATAACAAACATTTTCGCACAAAATCAAATGATCAAATAATACTGTTGATGTTAGACAAAGATGTTGCTTCAAAGATAAGGTCTCAAATTATTGTTTGCACTTAACACTTGCTTTGACATTTTTTATCCAATTTATTAAATTTAATTGTAGGTTAATTGTTCAAAACTGTCCAGACTCTTTTTGGAGTACCTACATTTGGGTTTGCAACATAATAATTATATATTAATATAAATAACTGATTTTAACTATAATTTTACCAAAATGACAAAAAAAATCTAAGCAAGTGGACTTAAGTGTCCAAATTTTTCTGAACTATTGTAGTATATTTGGAGTATATTTTTTTTAGCTATATTTGGGTTTGCAACTTATATAGTTTCTATAAATAGCCAATATAAATTACCTAAAATGTGTGCCTTGCCAGCACTTCAGCTTCCTTTAGCAAAGGAAAATCTAGTTACTGCTGTTGTTTGCATACATTAGGGAAACTTTGATTACTTTAGCAAAAATTCAATGTATCTAAAAAAAAATGCTAACTCTACAGTTGTTTTCTTAATTTGTGTAGGTGTGTTTCTTAGTGTCGCAAATGTCAAGTGTCATCTACTCTCGGAGTGTGTGACTGACAGAGAGCCTGACCAGAGAGTGTGTCACTCTGTCAGTACATCTGCATATTAAAATCAAATTAAGCAGCTGGCCTGAAGCATTTGAAAGCAGGCCCAGTAGAGGCTAATAATACACCACTGCCTCCTGAGTTATCACCTCACATGCACACACACATCTCCCCAAGGACCAGCCTACTGCCATATCAGCAACAGTAATAACTACAGAAAATGAATCAGTAACAGGGATTTTAAAAGTGTGTGTAGTAAAAGTAATGATATGCATTTGAGCACACATTACCTTTTAAGTGTAGCTGTAGCATTTTGCGCACCAGAATTATCGAGCAGGAGTAGGGATGCATGATATTGGATTTTTGCCGATATCCGATATGCCGATATTTTTCAACTCATTTTGGCCGATAGTCGATGCCGATACTGATATATTTCCTTTTGTTTGGAAACAACACCAAGTCGGAGGTGGTCTGAGTACGGTTCGTTTGTGGGTCCGTTTGTGGTTCGATATCTTCGTGATATGCGAAAGCAATGAGATCCCGGTCCGCTTTGCGTTTCGTTTCGACATGTGTACCTGGAGAACAAAACTATATGCAGCCATGTTAATAAAATTATTACAGTTCAAAAGACAATATGTAATTATGTCGTTTTCTGTTTATGAAACTTTTCTATACTAACCGTTCAAATGAAAGCTGAAGCGTCACAAGCAGTCCTGTGGCAAGCAGTAGCAGTTGTTGATAGTGTTGGAAGAAAATGTTCTTTTTAGTTGCTATCCTTTTCCTCTTCCGTTTTTTCAGATTCTTTCCTTTAGTTCTGCTTTGTCTGACTCTTTCTCTGTTTGTCATTTGCTTCAAAATGTGCCACATCCATGTGATGACAACATGTGAAGACGCCATCTTGAATACCCAAAATCCACTGCTGCACAGAAAGCTGGGGTCTGAGTTCTTATAAAGTTGTGGTGTGAACAAGAAAGGGTCTGAGATCTCTTCATTGCTGAAGAGGACCAAAAAAAGAACTGGGTTCTCTTTTGAGTCCACTAGATTGTGAACACCAAAAGGACTGAGGTCACTTTCGGCTGGTTCCCTTTCTGGCTCACTTTAAGTTAACTGGGTTTGGTTCTTTTAACACCCTAAGGGTGTTTTCACACTTGGTCCTTTTCAGGGGTCTGAGCGCAGTTCGCGTGATTTTTGGCCCATATGTGAACACTCCAAACGATCTCAGACCCCGAACCGAACCGATCTCGGGAGGTGGTCTGAGTACGGTTCGCTTTCGGCTAAAGGTAACACAAATCGGCCCGGGCTCACTTGATTTTTCCATTTGCGAATTCCAATGTAGTTTGGTCATCAGATGTTTCCGTACAAATCAGCTGTTCATAGTGGCTGCTTCTTCTGGCAGATCTCTACAAATTGTTCACTCACAATGTACACTTGTTTATTTTAACTTCAATAATAGTGTATACACTCTCTTTAGCGTTTATTGTTTCAACTGTCAAAAACACCCATGGTTCACATAAACAATCGCATGTGTATCAACTGATCTGTGCAGTATGTAGTTCTTGTACATCAGCCTAATATGAGAATCAGAATCTATTATTCATACGATTCATAATATGCATTTTATTTTTTTTTCATTTGATTAGTACATTTCTTACAATGCTGCATTTAAGGATACCTGTACTGTACCTGAAAAATTTAAAACAGTTTATTATATTTTACTTCACTTGTGCAATTTTTTTTTCTCTCTCTCAATGTCAGCATGCCTTTTTCGCTGGTCCTTAAAAAGTCTTACATTTAATTGTATCAAATTTAAGGCCATAAAAAGTACAATGGGGACGGAAAGACAATTGCCATATAGCTTAATGTGATGATTAAAATGAAAAAGGCTATGATTTCATTGGATAAATATGAGCGCCGCACGTTTCAAAGTCTATCTTTATGCAGTTCTGAAAGCGCACCTGCTGGCAGAGAATGAATTTGCATTTTTTAACAGCCCTTCTGCTGGTTTAAAATAATAATGGATATTAAACCAACCATTAAACCATTACTATAATAATTGATACATTTGATTTTTGACTCTTTTCTTAAAAATGGCTTGAAATTTGAAAGGAAAGAATTTCATTTTATAATTTTTTTATATATATATTTTTTTTTTGTGAAATCCTGTAACTGTAAATCATGCTTTTTACAGTCATTTTACAGTTTAATATGTTACCATTGACATTGCCCCACCCCACTCATATGGCATTAATTTTATCTGTGCAGGTCTTAAAAACAGTCTTAAAGTCTTAAATTTCAGTTTTAAAATCCTGCAGAAACCCTGTGTGCTATAAAATAAACACGATGACATAAACAAGGAAAACAATTCAAAATAAATATTGCAAAGGTGTACGAAACTTATATTTTTGTGCAAAAGATACAAATATTCCAGTTTTGGAGGCCATAATGTCAGCCTTCAAACATGGAACTGGACTAGATCCAAAAAGCAACAGTCTGAACACAAAGAGGTCTGAGACACCATAACTGCTTAAGTGGACCAAAAAAGGATCCGAGTCCTCTTACAGGAACTGTGATAGTGTGAACACAAAGAAAAATGGGTCCTTTTTCACTTGTTCCACCTCTTGGTCCACTTAAAGGGGTCTGGGTTCCGTTCTTTTAAAGAGGACTCAAGTGTGAAAACACCCCAAATGTTATTTGTGTATTTTACTTTCATTAGAATTAGGCCAACAGCGCCCCCTATGGAATTAAAACCCCTTACCGAACTAGCAATAGAACCTGGGGAGGCTGCCGCTGCTGCCACTGCACGTGCTATTACTGTTGACTCTATCACACACCGAACACGTACGTGCATTCTCAGCTTAAATGCAGCTATCTAAATCAGTGAATCTAATCATCATTCCGGCAAAACTTTGCTTCAAGAATGAGCCACACTGCTGACTTGATCTAATCGCTACACACCCTGAGCACATGTGAGTTATTAATGTATTCCTCTTATCGGCAAGACATATCGGCATAATTTTTTATATCGGGCCGATGCCAGTATTTACATTTAAAGCCATTATCGGCCGATTCCGATATCGTTCAGACAATATCGTGCATCCCTAAGCAGGAGTAATTCCTTTTGAAATATGTTCATGTTTTGATTATTTATTATGTGCAATGATGATGAAATTAGAGGGAACTCACAAGAATTACTACTGTCATCCTTAGTCCCATCAAGAGATCCATCTGGGTTCATCTGCAAGTAGTATCCCTGCCTGCAATATAACCTGGTCACTATACCCTTGAGCTGGGGATCTGTGGAGAAAGACAGAAAACATAATTAACAAAGCACTTCTTATAGATGAACTACAGACTATAGACACTACAAATGCACATGTTTGTGTAATCTACCAATACATGTAAAAAATAAAAATGTAAAGTTACAGTCAACCCAAAAATGTCATCATTTATTCACCCTCATGTCATTCCAACCCTGTATGCATTTCTTATTTCTACAGAACACAAAAGAAGATATTTATCCAAAGCAACTTACAGTGCATTCAGGCTATACATTTTTTACCAGTATGTGTGTTCCCTGGGAATCGAACCCACGACCTTTTGCGCTGTTAATGCAATGCTCTACCACTGAGCCACAGGAACACTTCTTTTATGTTCCACAGAACAAAGAAAGTGCTGTGCAGTGACTTTATTATGAAATAGACTCCAAAGTGCCCTCTTTAGCCAGGCCTGATAAAGATGTATCTTGACCACGTGGTGTCAAATTCCATACAAAAAACTAATCCTTTTTTAACAATATAAAGCATATTGTTACATTAATGCGATGACATCACTGTAAAACAGGACAGTAGAAGATACAAAAATAATTAAAGTTGATATCAACAGGGGGCTTAACAGAAAAATCAGTGAGGTAACCAGGCAAGTGATCTCAGTCTTCACATGAACAGTTTAAGTAGCACTGAAATCTGATGGCTAAACAGAAGGGGATGGTTTAATGATTACAACTTTTGTGTGCACAAATTGTCACAGGTCTGTTTTTGGACAGAATTTAACGGATTTTACAATGTCATACTGCAGTAAAAATGAAGATAAAGGAAACGGTGTCAACTTTTGTGTTCCTTTTGATTTCTTGCTTAGAACAGTAAGAGAAACAGTTTTTTCATCTGAGAGTGGAAATCTAAAGGAAATAACAAACCAAAGAATGTTCTATCAAAACACTGTCCTTTACTTCAGAGTTCATACACACATAGCTACACAGTTTTTCGAGATGTGTTTGCTCAGGAGTACTGTATCGCTAATGGAACATCAGATGCGTGCATACTAGACAGTGGTTATTCAAAAAGACACACAACAGCAGTTTGCAATGTGGGAACTCAACTAAATACAGTAGACATGTGGCGGAAGAGCATTCACAACCCTCTACATTGCGAGTAAATCACTCGCATATGCGACTAAATCTTCACTCTGGGCGACTAAATGATGTCTAATATTAGCCAATGGCTAATAAATTCTTAGATTTTACTCACCAGTGTGTGAGTTGGAGGCTAAGTATAAGTTTAGCACAGATATATTTTCACTCGCCAAACACTCTAACTGAGCGCTTCAGAGTTTCACTCTCTGTCAAGCGATCTGTGATATTTTTCATTTCATCTCAATGGATGCGCAGCGCACCTGTGCTTGTGTATTTGACAAACCGTAAACTCTAGTGTGAAGGCGCACGACTCGCCGTTGTTTTCTCTCACACGCGCAAAGTGAGAGAGAGAGAGCGAGTGAGAGAGTCTTACATAACATGCAGAATTGATGTAACGTTTTTTTCCCCTGAATGACCAAAAAAAGCACCACCACCAGTCCTAAGTTTATATGTGTGTGTATAGTATAGTATAGTATAGCATTTCAGTCTGGCGAGTAAACAAAAAAATGTACTAGCCAATGGCGATTCAATTGCCAAGGTGTCCGTAGAGGGTTGATTCAAAAGCAGCACCAAGCATTCACACCAAATTATCTCATTTCAAGTCTTCTGAAGTATTAGACAGGGAGATGCGTTGCTCCAGATTTGACATCAATAATTGTGTCTTCAAATAAATCACAATGTACCAAGTTTGAAAATGCAGACATTAGCTAAATTTGTGTTTCACAAGGAAAGAAAGCCATAAATGTTTGGAACGACATGAGGGAGAGTAAATGATGAAAGAATATTCATTTTTGGGGGAAATACCCCTTTAAGATTGTAAATGTACTCTGCGCAAATTGTAAAACAATAGTGTGAAACAACAACAAAAACAAAACATACTACTGTTGGTTGTTTAACTCTGGGGAGGCTGGATTGTGCTTTAGCAAACACTGCTTGGGGGTAATTACATAAATAGATGCGAGTGACACCATTTTCAAGAGACAGGAAGGAAAAAAGGAGGATTTCTTACAGCATAAAATGCTGTAGCCTCATTTGGCTATAAGGGTCTCCTGTGATACACTTAACCAGCCTTGCTGTGCTTAACTCCAGGCTGGTAAACAAATAACTGCCTTGTCATATTGATGTAGGTACAATGCTGCTGTTTACCGTTGGCTTGCTGCCCTGGATTTGCCTGTGTTAGGCCAGGGTATAGCTGAAGAAACTGGCACATCAAAGGTGGAGAGAGAAAACGAATGAGAGGGTGAGAGAAAAGAACAAAAGAAGGAAGGAGAAGGTGAGTTTAAAGGGAAAGAGAGATACAAAGAATGCTAATTACAGTGCTGCTTTATTATATCTGCCTCCACCTACACAGTGATACTGCTGAGACAGCATCCTGAGACACTTAAAGACAGCAAAGAGCTCCCAAGCATTTACTTACAGAAAAAAACCCAAAAGAACAATCAAAGAGATGGGCATGAGCTACAGTTCCATATGCATCCCCAAATGCTCACATGCAATATTTAGAGGATGTACGGAAAATTAGATTTGTACATTTTCTGAAGAAAATGTAAGTGGTGACTGCCCACGCAAAACTCACCACCATAACATGCCAGGATGTTGCTACATGTGGTTGTAAAAGTGTTCTGACTCTTTTTTTAGCATGTTGCTTTGCAGTTGCTAAGGTGTTCTGAGTGGTTCCCAAGGTGTTGATATATGTTGCTAAGATGTTCTGTGTTGTTTTGCATGTTGCTACGTAATAGATTGGATGTTTTGAGTGGTGCTAGGGCTTTGCTAAAGTGATATGGCTGGTTGCTGGAGCAAGTCAAAAGAGCCAACCTTCTAGTGTCTATGATATTCTGGTCTCTAGATATGGCTTAGTTCCCTCTTTTAAAGGGCACCTATTATTCCCCTTTTTACAAGATGTAATATTGGTCTTGGGTGTCTCCATAATGTGTCTGTGAAGTTTCAGCCCAAAATACCCAACAGATCATTTATCATAACAGCTGGAAAATGACATTTTTGGGGTGTGTCTAAAAAAGAGCTGTTTTGGAGTGTATCGCTTTAAATGCAAATGAGCTGCATATTCCCGCCCTGTCTCCAGAAGAGGGCGTTGTGTATACGTCTCTCTGCATTGCATATCTACAGCAATAAACAGCCGGTAGAAGCAACATAACAGAGCGAGAGAATCAGTGTTTAGCTGTACATATGGGAAGCCAAATGCACAGAAAGTGGGATGAAACAGCGTAATGTTACAGAGCTCGCGCTGCGCTGACCTGTCATCGGCGCGGATCAATGGACTGAGTCGCGAGACCGCGCTATCGAACGAATCTCACTCTACGAACGGCGAGAACTAATCTCACAAGCACGGTGCTGATCAGTTAAAAAATACTTAATGTACGCACACAAATACGGTTAGAACACTAAGCACTATAACGACGTGACATTCACAAAGGAGTCTGGAGTGATACACGTATTTAGGTATATTTTGAGGCGCATTACCTTGAAAAATTAAAGTAATCCACAGCGTCCTCAGCAGCTCAGATGTTGGGAGAAAATGAAGACTCTTATGTTCAGCCTTACATCCAAACACAGAGCATCGGGATTGCTTGCGAGACATTGTTAACGTTACAGCTGCTCGAGCGTGGAGAAAAAGGAGGACAGCGTACAACCGATGAGGGTGGAAACTATCGCAATGCAGGGCTGTCAATCAAGCCCCGTGGCCGGGCCCTATACAATGTGACGTCACACTGCATGAGAATCAAAATGGCAGGCCTATTAAGACTGACCTGGTTTAAAGGGGATTAAAAAATGAGGAGTGGGTGGATTTTTATCATTGTAGGGTGGTTGTGTTCACACACTGCCAACACACATTTATGTCCAAACACCATGTAAAAGTGGATTTTGCATAATAGGTGCCCTTTAATGTAAGTCTATTATTGGACTTTTTTTTCAACTGTTTTATTGTCTACCAGAGAAAAATCATGGAAAAGTAATAGTACAAGTCTCTTCAACAAGCCATCCAATTTTAAGAATAATTGCAGCTCAAATGGTTCAGGATGAGTTTTGAAACTTTATCTCTACATATTAGAAAAAGCAAAAATCAATCTAAATAAATGGCATCCAGAAAATCAATTAAGTGCATTAATGTAACATACAGAACATTAATCTCTCACTGCCTCTTTCCATGAAAATACTTGGAATTCTCATGTGTTTTCAAAACTTTTTGATATATTTTTTTTTGTACATGCAATGGAAGTCAATGGGCTTCAATGCTATTTGTCATTCTTCAAAATACCTTTTTTTGTGATCAACAGAAGAAAGAAATTCATTCAGATTTAAAACGACATGACGGTGAGAAAATGTTGACAGAATTTTCATTTTTTGATGGACTATCCCTTATCTTATATTAACTTTACCAACTGCTTTGCCACACTGAGTGTAAAGAATCAAGCATTGTGACATCTGAAAATTCTATAAATACATTTTTAAAGATGATGGATGCTCATAACATTCATCCTGATATAAAGTTAGCTGCAGGTGCATGGTTTCGTTCGTTTGGTGGAGAGAGAGACAGAAGGAGACAGACAGGTAGCTATCATCAGACAGACGTAGATGGGGGGGGCTGTCTCACTGCACACAGCACCAGCTGCAGACTTAACCACATGTGATTGACCCACTATAGACTTTCAGGAACAGGAGAAGGGCTTTTCCAGCTTTTGTAAGCACACTCACAATGTTCACAGTCGCAGGAAAGACTGAGAAAGGGCTGCTATTACATTATATATTGGAACTACTAGTTTTATGAAATTCATACTCTCTTCTACAAATATTTATAATATTTTATGAGAAAGATATCGCAAGAAATAAGGTGTATATATATTATATATACTATATAAGGTGCATGAGT